AATATCCATTCTAAATGAACCATAGATTAATGTATGGCGTACCCTAGTTCCAAGCCAACAGCCATGATCAATTCTAAAGCCAAGTAATCCTATAGGAACTCCTCTTGAATCCTCTCACAATGATCTTACCTACTAAATGCTAGAGGTTAAGATCAATAGTTGAGTAAAAAGAAAAGTTTTGAATTTCTAATGGTGGGGGGAACTTTTCTAATTTTCTAAGACTAGTCAATAGGAAAGTCCTATGGCTAGACCTAGGCTATTAAAGAAATTTTTAGACCTCAACCAAAAGTGAGGTCAACAGCATGCTTGGAATATTTTTCTGATTTCTTTCTAGTTTATCTTGGATGCCACGAAATTGTAATTTAAACTCTTAAGAACCATAAATTGTAAATTTTTCTATATAAAAATAATAAAAAATATCAAAGATAAATTAAAATTTAGAATTAAAAAATTCTAAATTTTTAAAATCTATCTTTTACTTTATTGCATAGACTTCAGTGCAGACCGATTTTAAGACGGGCTTCATGGCATGGGCATAATCCAAGTCATATAATAAGGTCTTCATAATATCTAAGGACTGCTCTAAATAATTGCATCATTTGCATATCCCAAAGGGAAGCCCCAGTGTTTCTCCAACCTGACCGCCCAACATAAATTTCTAATTAGTGGTTATCTAGTACGTCTCGGCCGTTAGAAGGCTCTCTGATCTAGACGAGGTGTAAGTCCTTTTGTTGGAAGCATTTTCCAGCTTTATAGATGAACCTCAATTTCACTTTTTCGATGGTATCTTTTCGATTTTGACAGGTATATGTCTTACCTCTTGGAGCTTAGCTCGATAGTCATAAGATAAAGTTTCGTTCCTTTAACTTTAGAGCTATCGAGGTCCGCCGTTGACAATGTAATTCACGGATTGCTAACCGAGGCTCACTGGACGTGTTGGGTTGATTACATTTATGACCAGAAAAACTTAGGGTCTTAGTGGTTTGGGATAATGGGTCTTTGATACCCTTATGCGACTACCTCTACCTTTTAGGGAATATTCCTCCCTTCCTTTAACTACCCCTGTCGAACCCTATCTCTTATGTTGTCTTCGTTGACACAGTCTTAGCGGTCTAATTACCGATGAACTGTTGTCCGTTTAGGATACGACGATTTATTATCTGCCTTTATGGTTCAAATGTGCTTTGATTTATTATGATTCTCAGTCGGGATGATTCAGCTATTTTGTAGGTTTCGTATGCCAACGAATCTGCGACATACTTGGGACCATGAGAGACTCACTCTCCGTTTCGTAACTTAGGAGCTTTGAAAGCATTAGAGCATTCCCCTATGAAATAACTCTCATTTGATAGCTTTGTGCTAGTTGTCACAACTAATGTAAGGAAAACTCATTTGGATCAAGAGTATTCTTTGCCAACCATCAAGATGTAATTAACCAAGTGAGATACTTCCCTTTGAGAGTATTCTAGACCCCAGAACAGGCAAGCACACCTGAATCTCGGGTTATGAACAGTTTACGTAGGTATTCTTTCACGTATAATTGTCCATGGCGCTTTCGCCCGATCTTATCTAGGCTGACATATTTGACTTATCCTTACGAGGTTTATACATGTAGACTCTTCACGTCCTCTCTCTAGTTTGTCATCTTTGTCATATGTTCGTCTTTTCTAGTTCCTCTTTTTTCTTAATCATTCACATGATCTGAAATAAATGTTTATTCAAAAAGAAAAATATACGATGATGAATAAACTGACAACTCCATTTAAAAATAAAAAAAGAAAGTAACAAAAATAATATTTTATAATTTTTTTTGTGCTTTTACCTACATATTACACTATTCCTATGTATTTACATCATATCAAAAATATTCTTATTATTTTTATTAAAAAAAGTAAGATACTAATTTTCATATATATATTTATGAGAATCTCAATCACCTCCCATATAAATAATCCTCCATTAAAATTTATTAAATTTTTTTTTTCTCAGAAGAAGGAATTGAAGAAATTTGTGATATCCTATAGCTAAGATTCATCCAAAATAGTTTCCTTCTAAATAACATGAAAATTGAGGGTCATTTGCAATTATCAACTCTAAGGAGTTGGAGTGTGGAAAATTGCTAGCTGCCATCAATATAGATAAAAACAAAAAACAGCAACAACAACAACAATAAACCCCTTAGACAATTTGCTCCTTCTTCTTCTCCCTCAATTCCTCTATCAACTTCCCAAGATCATTATATGAAGATCCTCCCACCTCCACCGCCTTCCTCGCCATCTCTTTAAGCTCCCTCGCCCTCCTCCTCCTCTCCTCCGCCTCCTCCCCATCTCCCATCACCCTCCTCACCGCCGCTTCCAAGTCCCTCGCTTTCACCACCGGCCGATCCTCCGGAAGAATCGCAAACACGTTGGAACCCACCTCCACCCCAATCCCCAGCACATCCACCAAAAGCCGCTCATTGAAAAACTGCTCCGCATAAAGCGGCCATGTTCCCATCGGCAACCCCGCTGCTATCCCTTCTAAGCTTGAGTTCCATCCGCAGTGCGTCACGAAGCCCCCCACCGCCTCATGGTTTAGTATCAGAAGCTGCGGCGCCCATTCTTTGATCAAAATACCCCTCCCTTCTATCCTCTCTTCATACCCTTCAGGAATCCACTCATCCCCTGCGTCTCGAATAACCCAAACAAATGGATGGCCGGAATCCTCCAGCCCCATAGCCATCTCCTTCAGCTGCGTCGCTGTGAAGTTGCATATACTTCCAAAACACATGTACAAGACTGAACCCGGCGATCTTTCATCAAGCCACCTCAAGCATTCTTCCCCTGTTTTTCCTCCTCCTCCCCTGCCTGATTTATCGACCTCTGCTTGGTTGCAGAGCGCGACGGGACCTACATGCCATGCCCTCCTCCCCAAAACTTTCCTGGAGTGCTCGGCGTAATCTGGCTCCAGCTCATAGAAACTGTTCACCACCGTCCCAAAGCTCTTCGAATAGACTTCTCTTGCATGCTTGACGATCTCGATCACGGGGATCATAAAAGGGACAACTTTGGTGTTGTCTTGAAGTTGTGACCGCAGGAGTTCGATGCGATGTGGGAGACCGGGGAGGACGAAGGACTCCTCCTCCGGCGGCAGGCTCTCTAGAGGTTTGTGCCGCTCTAAGCTATCTACAGCGCATGCCGCAAAAAAGTTGGAACCTTCAAAAATGATTCTCGGTATGCCATTATCGGCGGCGACGTCGTAGGTCCATGGCAAGAAGAAGTCGGAGACGACGCAGTCGAAGCGAAGTTCTTTGAGGACGCGATCGAACGGGTTGCGGAGCAAGGAAACGGCCTCCGCAAATTTAGCAATTTGGGTGGTGTTGGATGTAAGGGATGACAGGTGCTCGCAGCCCTCCGGGAGACCGACGGCATCTGAGGGGAAGGGGATGAGGTGGAGGCGGATGGGGATGGGGAAGGTGGAGGAGGAATTGAATTGGTCTACGGCGGGAAGGATGAGGGGGGAATTTGCTGGGGTCGTGAGGATGGTGACGTCGGCCCCGCGGGATGCGAAGAGCTTAGCCATGTCAATCATGGGGAGCATGTGGCCCTGAGCGAAGTAGGGGAAGAAAAGGATCTTCAGGTTTTCGTGTATGGATCCCATCCTATGATTTGCTTCCTCCGACTGGAATAAGGAGCTGACTGCTTTTGTTTAAGTTGAAGGACGACGACGATGGGAATGAACTTAAATTCGAGGAGTTGCAGACTTTTCAAAGATGGCATCATCAATGACGTAACAGTAGTTAAGCGTTCACCAAAAGGTTCTCGAAGACTGAAAAATCTTACGTATGTTAATGCATAAATTTATTGTAAGTATTGATGGAAAGGAAATCGATTGGCAGAGGCCTATATGCACACACAC